TTTAAACTTTTGGTGCCTCACATGTTCTCACTTCTATTAATGGTATCATCTAACTAAAAACAATTAACTAAAAGCTGCAAACTCTGTAAATTTCTCAAATCTAATATGCATCTTTTAAAAAATCGAAGAAAATTATTAGATCTGTACAATTTAATAATAGATTCTCCATTTTTTTACTTCCTTCCATCAAATAATTCTGTTAATCCCAGATTCCACAAAGCAGTTTGACAAATAATTCTGTTAATACCATTAGAATCTTGACTTGGGCTTAAGTAATGTAATGACAAATAGTGGAGATATTATTAGTCTCATTTTCTTCATTCAAAGTCCAGATTATCGACATAAACTGTAAGAAACCAAATTCTCAAGAAAAAACAAACCTCATAACCCCAACATTAGGGCAAAAAGAGCTTCATAACAGAAAACAGAGTAAGCAAAAAAAAAAAAAATGCAATAAACAAAGAGAGTGAGAGAGAGATCATCGTTGGAGATCCATCATTCGTGAGAACTCAGTGAAACACACGAATCCATTACCGTCCACGTCAACATCTGCTATCATGCGCTTACAATCATCTAACGTGCACCGCTCATCTCCAATAGTCGAAAAAACTCGAAGAAGCTCCTCAGCCGAAATCATACCGTCACGATCCGCGTCGAAAAACTCAAAAGTCTCCTTCAACTCCGTCGAATCACGACACGGTTCCAAAGAGACGACGCGGCTAGCTAACTCTTCCAAACGAATCGTACCGTCACCGTCACGATCCATTTCTCCGAGCATAACGTCGATCTCTTCCTCCGTCGGTGGTTCAGGACCGAGCAGGCTAAGTAACGACTCGAGATCGTGTCTCGACACGGCTCCGTCGTTGTCTCTGTCGATCAGCTTGAACGCTTTGAGGATTTCGACGTACGAGTAAGGAGAAGGATGGACGGAGACCTCCGGGAGAATGCTAGTCGGAGTAACGGAGCCGCCGGTGACGACGGCGGAGGGATTTTTAGAGTCG